TGTGTTATAAGAATTATTATTCTCTCATTAGACATATCAAAAGCAATTTCCCTTCCTAAATTCTAAGCTGAATTCTAAGCTTTCCCTTCCTAAATTCTAACCAATCTATATGTTATCACTGATATTAATATTCTATAGATAAATGTAGACCCAGAACAGGAAAAGCCAGGTAAGAGTATGGTTGGCCATTTATTGAGGATTATTTTCCTTATTTGTAGAGGAGAATACTAACCTACTTCCTGGTAAAATACTGTTGAATTTCCACAGCCTCTGAAATTCTGCTGGGACTGGTGTAAGACTGTAATTATAGCAGTGGACTCTGAAGGAAAAGACTGCAGGAAAAAAGAACCCTGAGAACTGGATCTTCTGATGATTCCTACACTAGATGGAGAGGAGGCGGTACATTTTTTTCTTTCTGTGCTATTCAGCATCTTACTGGTATCCACAAGTTAGCTAACCCAATTACCCAGTGAAAAAATGGGCAGAGAACTGAATCAACATTCCTCTACTGAAGTTCCCCAAATGGCCAATGAGTACACAAATCAAAGACACAAGAAGATAACACCTTGGACCTGTTAGCACAGTTATTATGGAAATGTCGAACCATAACGAAGCCCTTCTACACTGTTGGCAGAGAGAAAATTGGTACAGCCATTACGGAAATCAGTAGAGTGGTTCCTTAAACAATTAAAACCAGAACCTGCATGTGGTCCAGCAAGCTCACTTTTGGGTATTTCTCCAAAGGAACTGAAAACAGGATCTTGCAGAGATACCTGCACTCCAAGTTCATTGCTGTGCTATGCCGAGAGCCAGGATGTGGATTGGGTTGGCCAAAACATCCACGTGTTTTTTCAGTGAGACGGCTCTGGTAGTGCTTAGGGGTCTTTCATTTCACTTGAAACAATTTTGTTAAATTGTATTGTGACAGCTATCTATTAGCATACATATAAAAAAACTTACCAAAAATGATGAATTTTTGTGTAGTCATTTTAATATTGAAGATGGAAGAAAATACACAACCTTCTTTGACCTACTATGCTTTATTATTTCAAGGAAAGTAAAAATGCAACTGCAACACAAAAACAGATTTGTGCAGTGTATGGAGAAGGTGCCATGACAGACAGAACGTGTCAAACGTGGTTTGTAAAGTTTCGTGCTGGAGATGTCTTTGCTGGACAGTGCACCATGCTCGGGTGGACCAGCTGAAGTTGACGGGGATCAGATCGAGACAGTAACTAAGAACAATTGATGTGATGCTATGTGGGAGAAAGCCGACATACTCGAAACAACCAAATCAATAAGTTCTTGGTGAAAATGAAAAAATGTGTCTTTTATTTTACGGAAAAAACCATATGGACTTTTTGGCTAGCCCAATAATCAATGCACGCATCTATTGAGGGGTGACTGGATAAAGAAAAATGTTATCTTCTTCCCACGGAAGAAGATTCAGCCTTAAGAAGAAGGAAATCTTGATGTCTGCACCAACATGGATGGACCCAGACAGTATTACACTACCTAAAGTGAGCCAGGCACAGCAGAACAACTACGGTGTGGCCTGACTTACATGTGCAACCTGACACAGTCACACTCACAGGAGGGGAGAGGAGAGAGATGGTTTCCAATTTCTGAGGGGAGGAGCGAATGCGGGAGATTACAGTCAGAGGGCGCAATGCTTCAGTCGTGCAAGATAAATTCTGGATGTACACCATCCAGCATGGTGCCTATAGATAATTACAACGTATTACACACTTAAATGTGTTAAGTATAGGATAGAGCTTTTGTAAGTGTTCTTACCACATACTCTCTCACACACAAAATATTAACAATAAGAAAGGAAATATTGGAAAGTGACAGGCAGGTGTATAGCCTTGATGTTAATGATGGTTTCACTTATCCTGAACTCATCAAGTTATATACATTTAAATACATCCAGAAAAAGTCCAGCCATTGTTAATATAACAAAAATGGTTTGCACAACATCGATGTAACCTGGCAGCCAAGGAGAGGGGAGTGGAATGCACATGTGTGAACAATGACAACTTCATCGTCCTGGTCAGTGGGGGGTGGTAGACGCCATTGAGTGAGCATGTGTACGGTGTGGCCTTTACATTCAAAATGGCTGGACAAATACAGTGACCAATTTGCATCAAATTTTCATTAAGCTAGAACTGTACTCCATGGAAACCATTTGGATGATCCAGAAGGCAGCAGCTCTGGGCGACGAGTGATTGGCAGCTTCATCGTGACAACACCCACCCTCATGCATCACACCTGGTGGAGAGGTTTTTGGTGAAACATCAAATCACCCCAGTGACTCTGCCCCCCTACAAGACCAGATCTGGCACTTTACGGCTTCTGGCTTTTCCCCAAACTAAAATCACCTTTGACAAGGGAAGAGATTTCAGACATTCAGTGAGATTCAGGAAAATGCAACGGGGCAGTTGGTGGCAATTGAGAGAACTGTGCGGGGTCCCAAGTGCCTGCTTGGAAGGGGACTGACGTGTCATTGTCCTATGTACAAAGTTGCCTCGGTACATGAAGATACAGTACATTGTATCTTCAGTAAATGTCTCTGTTTTTCACAGCACATGGCTGGATGCCTTGTGGACAGACCTCGTGTGTGTGGCTCTTTACATGTGAACTATACCGCAACAGCGTGGTTATAAAACAGAGATTGCTGGGCAAGAAAAGCAAATGCTCAGGGCAAAGAGCGGGCCATCAATTGCACCATCAGGAGACTGCATGCACGGAAGACCTGGAGTCTTCCATGAGCCAAAGTTGCAGAAGACATCTAAACAGAAAACCCTGATTAAACATTAGTTAAGAGAGCAGATGAAATCTGGTACTTTCCCTTCTCTTAGAATATTTATAGTCTAGTCAGAGAGACAAGATCTCTAGGTATGAATCACTGAACAAAGTATTTGAAAACACATGAATCAGGAACAATATTAGGAAGACGAAAATAGCACTCATTAATCAAAGAACATATACAAATTATTTTTTGACACATGTTTTATGTGGCAGAATTGTTTAGGGAAGATAAAAATTGGCAGTGGCAACTAATATTTGCATAGCACTTCCACGGGCATTAACATCCCTGCCTCTACGCAGGGCAACACGCCCTAGGGAACGCTGTTTGGGGGCAGGATTCAAAGGGCTTCTCTATCTGGTGTGGTTCGACTCTGACAAAGGCCTTGAACACATCGGGAAGGTACCCATAGAAGTAGTCACTAGACCGTTTGTCAATCTGGAAACAAGCTCGAAATTTTTTTAAAAATCAGAGAGAACACAGCATTTTAAAATTCATGTTTTAATTTTTTTCCCTGAAGCAAGTTTCAAGGAAAGCTGCAAAAAGTAGATATATTTTCTGAGAGACATGGGCTGAGTGGGTTTGGAAGGATGCAGTCCCTCACAGTGATTTGTGCTCCCTGGTGCACTCCAACGAGGCACTGGGGACTTTAAAACGAGACCATGAACACATATCCAGAGGGCTTTTAGGATCTCAGATAAGCCCCGATGGCTACGCTTCGGTTCTCACCTATGAGGAAACGTTTCTCCAAACAAAAGGATGGACTTAGAGTCCCCAGAGACCCATTGCTACCGCTCAGCATCACAGGTCACCACAACAATTGAGATGAATTTGAGGATGACTGTGGTGAAAAAACTGGGGGAATCGGTAAGCAGCTTGGGAAGAAAAAACACTGAGTTTTAGAAATACCTTTAGATCTCCATGGCGTATAATTGGCTATATTTTCTTGCCATGGAAAATAATTTCCCTGTCTCCTTTAGTTTACCTTTAAAAGGTGAATTGTGCCAACCTCTCAGAGATTTTTGATTCTTTGATTCGGTCAAGGATTAAGGACAGTTGTATTTTTTTCTTCAGCACACCAAAGGGTCCTGGGAAAAGACGCTTTCCACAGCCAGAAAATGATGCTCTTCCTAGAAATGACAGGGATACTTCTGCCTAACCCCTCCTTTTGCAAGTAACAACGAAGCCTGGGGTACGAGGGAGATGCTTTTCCATGGCCTCTAGAGACTTCCGCGAAAGCGAGCCTTCATTACTTCACACACACTGTGTCCTAAACCAGACATCAGTTCTCAAACCTGCCCAAGTGGTGAAACCCTTGGAATTGACCAATTTGGGGAGGAGAGCGTGAAGTAGTGACGCTGCTCCCTCATGTGTCTTGTCATCTATTGCCACCCAATGGCAGACAAGAAGCAGTAAACATCAAAGGATGATACCATAGATCTCAGAGAACTGGCAAAGCAGAGTATCCCACCAAGTCTAGGTTTCCTGCAAATGAAGAAAGGGCTGCTCTCATTTAGTTTAGTAATAATAGAACACGCCCTGGGTTGGTTTGTAGAATGCTGTGCTGGGACACAATGATGACTACTCTGTATTGAGAGCCTATGTATTGGGAAGCAGGTAGTATTTTAAGTATTTTTCAAATGTTGAAGGAAATCTCTGAGGTTGGCATTATTATCCACACCATAAGATCTAGAAAGAGGACACAATTTGGATAACTTGCCCATGGTTACCAGCACGACAAAATCAATATTTGACCCAGAGCTATCTAATCCATCTGGCCAGATTTCCACATTCTCCATCACTCTCTCCCCGAGAAGAGGCCCCTGCATCCCCACTCACAGGCCCCGCCGTCTCTAGAGCCAGACCTGACGTCAGAAGTGCCTGACGCTTGACTACCACGACACTTGACTACCTCCTCACGCCCTAATCCTGGCAATGGCCTTCTGATAAGTGTTCCCTGCTCTTAGATAGTCAATATCCAACATTCTCCAGTTCTGGTTCTCTACCTTGCATGTTCTTCATCATATTTTAGATCTTGCAACTTGCCACGGATTTTTGTGCCAAAAAAAACTATGCAAAAGCCAGAATCAACATGAACTTCCCACCAGAGGTATTCTGTTTGACTTAGGTTAATTATTATTAGCAAAAAAAAAAAAAAAGAGAGAGAGAGAGAAAAAGAGAAAAGAAACTACTGATTCCTGAAGCCAATGTGAGCATAAAGGCATGTGTCGTTTTCTGTGTCCAAGGTGAGTGTTTTTGCCTAAAACAGACCTGACTTCATGCCTATTGTCCTGGCATTATTATTTTAAAAGATTTTATTTATTTTATCTTAGAGAGTGGGAGAGAAGGAGGGAAACATCTTGTGTGAGAGAAGCTTCTCTCTTGCTTCTCGCATGCCCCCACTGGGGACCGGGCCTGCAACCTGGGCATGAGCCCTGACCAGGAGGAGTCCAGCCGGTGACCTTTCACTTTGCGAGAAGTGAGCTATACTGGTCAGGGCCTGGCATAATTATCAACAGTGCCCATTTAACTCCCAAAACAGTCTCAGTTTGAATGATACATTTTAAGTTTATCTTAATCATGTGCGCCATTCTCCTATTGCAAAGGCAATGCACAAATTTCATTTATTCTTCTTATAATTTTAACACGAGTTTGAAAATGTAGCTAAACTTATAATACAAATGAGCTGAGCTAAAACCTAAGATGTTAAAATACAGGGTGAGGCCAAAGTAGGTTACAGTTGTTTGATGGAAATAATATAATAATTAATAAATAATAATACCAGAAACTAACAAAATACCATTCAGGTATGTAAATGTTGGTTGGGTTTAATCCTGGAAACATATTAGCACATTTCATGGTCTACAGTATCTAATAGGCATTAATCAGGCAGTCATCTATCACTGTTACACTGTTTCATTCAGCTTATTATTGAAAGATACTGGGAAGCACAGCTCTCTACTGCCAAAAAGAACTTGCTGACCACTCTACCCAGATCAAAAAAATTACATTTTCCCATTGCACCTTTGTCTTGCAGACATACCATCTATTCATTCAGTGCTAGAGAAGAACTTTAATACATTGATAAATCAAGAAGTCAACGATGTGGTAAAAACAAATGCTGGTTTCCAAGAAAACACCTAACAATCATGCCATATGTTCAGCTTTATAGTGGAAATGACAAACACAATACTCATCCTAACAACATACGGGCATACTTTGTTGCTTGGCATAACCAAGCATGAAAATAAGATGTTTTTAATGAAGTTCCGTTGTAGTAAATGACAGTAGTAAACGGAATGACATTCAAGTACTGCCATTTAAACGTGCATTTAAAGTAGCTTCACTGATAACTGTTAGAACTGACAAGTGAACTCAGTAAAGTTGCAGGGGGTAAGATCAGTATCACAACAAAAATCTGCTGGGTTTAAATACACTAATAACAAACTATTGGAGGAATTTTTTAAATTATATTTAAAATTGCATCAAGAAGAATAAAATACCTAGAAAGAAATTTAGCCAATGAGATAAAAGACCTGTACACTAAAAACTATAAAACACTGATTTGAAAAAGAAACAAATACATGAAAAGATATTTCATACTCATATTTTAAAATGTCCATATTACCCAAAGCAAGTTACAGTTTAAATGCAATACCTATCAAACTGAAAACTTTTTGCACAGCAAAAAAAAAAAAAATCAACAAAAGGACAACATACTGAATGGGAGAAAATATCTGCAAATGATACAACTAATAAGGAGTTAATGTCCAAAATATATAAGGAACTCATACGATTTAACAACAGTAAGAACAAACTATTTGATTAAAAAGTGAGCAGAGAACCTGAATAGACAGAGATTTCCCAAAGAGAACATACAGATGTCCAACAGGCATGCAAAAAGATGTTTAACATCAGCAATCACCAAGAAAACGCAAATCAAAAATAGAATGAAATATCACCTTACACCTATCAGAATGGCTATTATCGAAAAATCAACAGGTCAATTCTGGGCAGGATGTGGAGAAAAAGAAACCCTGATGGCACTCTTAGCACGATTGCAAATCGGTGCCGCTGATTTATGCATGAAAAACATACGGAAAGTCTTCAAAAATTTAAACCAGAGCTGCTGCACGATCCAACAATTTCACTTCTAGGCGTCTATCTAAGGAAAACTAAAACAGCAGTTTGGGAAAATATGTGCACCCCCAGTTCACAGCAGCGTTAGGTGACTGTCAGTAGAGGAATGGATAAACACGCGCACACAATAGAATATTACTTAGCAATAAAAAAGAATGACATTGCTCCATGTACAACAACATGGATGGACCGAGAGGGTATTATTCTAATTATAAATCAGACAGAGGAAACAAATACCATATGTTTACACTTATATGTAGAATCTGAAAAACAAAGCAAAACAAGTGAATAAACAAACAAAACAGAAACAGACCCACAGATATACAGAACAATCTGATGGCTGCCAAAGGAAAGGGGTGTAAGGGATTGGTAAAATTAAAAATACATATGGAGTTTGTCACAATTAAAGGAAGAAGAACTAAGAGATTAAAGATTTCAGAAGCGTATGAAAAAAATTAGTCCTGGCTGGTGTAGCTCATTGAGCATGGGCCTATGAAGCAAAGGGTCGCTGTTTCGATTCCCAGTCAGGGCACATGCCTGGGTTGCAGGCAAGGTCCCCAGTAGGGGGCGCATGAGAGGCAACCACACATTGATGTTTCTCCTTCCCTTCCCTCTCTCTATAAATAAGTAAATAGATAAAATATTAAAAGAAATTAGAAACTGAACTACCATATGATCCCATGATTCTAATTCCAGGTATTTACCCCCCCAAAATAAAACACCAATTGGAAAAAGGTACACACATTTCCAGTTTCACTGTACTACTTCTTTCCAACTGCCAAGATATGCGAACAAACTGTGTCTATAGGTAGACAAATGAATCAGGACGATGTGGGCTGTATATGCAGTGGAGTACGCTGATCCATAAAAATAATGAAATCTTCCCATTTTTGACAACATGACGGACCTTGAAGGCATTATGCTAAGTAAAATTAGTCTGACAAAGAAAGACAGATACTTTATGATTTCACATGGGGTATTAAAAACAAGAATGAGCTCAGAGATACAAGGAACAATTTGGTGGTTGCCAGATGCAAGGGTAGGAGGTGGAAGAAATAGGAGCACGGGGTCCAAAGGTACAAACTTCCAGTTGTAAGAGGATTAAGTCCTGGGGATATAACATGCAGTACGGTGACTATAGTTAATAATGCTACATTGCATATTTGAAAGTTGCTAACAGAGTAAATCTTAGACTCATGCATCACAAGAAAGAAAAGATTTTATAACTATGTATGTTGATGGGTGTCAGTTAAACTTATTCTGGCAATCATGTCACAATATATATAATACTGAATAATTATGTTGTACACCTGAAACTAATACAATATTATGTCAATTATACTTCTGTAAAAATGAGAAAGGTTTGAAAATATAAGTAGAGCTTAGCACACTATTTTTTAAACGTAGATTTGTAAAAGAATCAGAACTTCTCAATATATATAGAGATCTAGCTATATACTATCTATCTCTCTCTATATATCTCTCTTCTCAAAAGAGAATTTATAAAAAATCATGTATGTATTCTTACATGTTTAAACTTCAGTCTCCTTCAAAGTACTCTCCATTTGACGCAACACACCTATCAAAGCATTTTTTCCACTGCTCTAAATAGGTTTTACATTCGTTGATTTTTATGGCTATAGTGCTTCTGCCATCTTTTGTTTCATCTCTTCCACATCAGACAAACATTTCCCTCTGAGGACTCTTTTCATCCAGGGAAACAAAAAAAGTCACTTGGGGAGAGATCAGGTGAATTGGGAGGGTGGGGCATGGGTATCATGCCATTTTTGGTCAAAACTTCTAAAGAGTCAGTACAGTGTAGGCAAGTACTCCTGTAAATCACCCATCAAGAAAATAGGCAAATACATTAAAAGAGTCTTCAAAAAATTTCACTGAGGCAGAAGGCAGCCTCTCACAACAATGCCAGTAGGTGCACTGATCAGATGGGTTCCTAGAACACTCACCTAGTGGGGGCAGCCTGCACTACAAGGGGCCTGCCCTCCAGAGGATAATTCCAGTTTTTTGGAGGTCCCCCTTCATATATAAATTTGAAATGGAAAATTCGGTGGATGAATTTATAATAGATTAGACACAGCTGAAGAGAAAATGAATGAACTAAGAAAATAATTTTAAAGAAAGTAGCCAGTATGTAGTGCAGACAAAGATAGAGACAACAAGAAGGCAAGGTCTGAGACATGAAGATAGAGTGTGAAGGTCTAACAGATATTCCTGGGAATCGTACAAGAAGAAAACTGTGGAGATCAGGGGAAAGAGGCAGTCTTCCCAAATGGCTTGCATTTTCCAAAAACTGTTGTAAGACTCCCACACTCACATCTAAGAAACACAACAAATTTCGAACAAGATAAATAGCAATTGACAACCTCACGATTCTGGTAAAACTCTGGTAAAACATCTAAAACATATTTAAGTACACATTTTATTATTATTTCTTTTGTTACATTCTTATGTTAATGTGGCATGTGTATTTCACACACAAAAATTTTAATGACAAAAAAATAAGGAGATTTTATCTTTCCTCCCCAATTCTGAATCTTCTCCAATGTAGAATCATATGCTGCTTAGCACTAATTAATGGTAAAAATAAAGACTCTAGGTGTGTTTTTTTTTTCCTGCCTTTTAAAAAAATAATTTATTTATTTATTTTTAGAGAATGGAAGGGGGGAGAAAGAAATGGAGAGAGGAAACATCAACATGTGGTTGCTTCTCCCATATCCCCAAATGGGGGGCCTGGCCTGCAACTCAGGCATGTGCCCTGACTGGGAATCGAACCAGTGACCTTTTGGTTCACAGGCCTGCACTCAATCCACTGAGCCACACCAGTCAGAGCAGTTTTTGCTTTAGTTTTTTAAATAAAACAGAAAGGGAATTCAGACTCTAAGTAGTTATTACTTTCAGGTTATAGTGCCTGAAAGTTTGAGTTATCAGAAACCCTTGCCTCCTGATGAACTGACCACACTGTGATTCTTTTCTACTGTGAGTCTTGTATGGCATGTTTGATTCCTGTTTCCCTGGCACTAGCCAATGTTGGCTCCAAAGACTTCTGGATGAGTTCATCTGTCAGCAAAACTGAAAGCCACTTGTTGGA